ACGGTTACGATTTCATCTTCGGGAGAGATTGGCTACGGACGGTTAGTACTCAGTTCGATTGGGCTCAGGGAAGCTGCAGCGTCAAGGTAGACGGGGAGTTCCGGGAGCTGCCACAGTGGAGCGATGGGGCCACATCATCCACAGCGATCATCAATGCTGTTCGTGTGCGACAGCTGGTGAAGCGAGCGGCACGGATCTTCGCGGTTTTCCTTGAGGAGGTGGAAGCTGAGGAGGGGAAAGGAGGGAGCGCAGCAGTTAGTGAGAAGGCGACTCTTCCTGCTGAGGTGAGTGCACTGTTAGCGGAGTTCGCAGACGTCTTCCCCGACGAGTTGCCCCCAGGGTTACCTCCTAGCCGAGCAGTCGACCATCGAATAGAGTTGGAGCCGGGGAGCAGGCCAGTAGCAAAGCCGCAGTGGAGGTTGAGTCCAGCAGAGACAGAGGAGATGACGCAGCAGGTTAGGCACTTTCTCGCACAGGGGTTCATACAGCCATCTAGATCGCCTTGGGCCGCACCGATCCTTTTCGCGCCTAAGAAAGACGGAGGGTTACGGATGTGCATAGACTACCGCGCACTGAACGCCGCCACCGTCAAGAACAGATTCCCGGTGCCGAGAGTAGAGGATCTTCTAGATGCAGTGCAGGGCGCTAGAGTCTTCTCCAAGATCGACCTTCGTTCGGGTTACCACCAGATTCGTGTAGTTCCAGAGGACCAGCACAAGACGGCGTTTCGTACGAAGCAGGGGTTGTACGAGTTTAGGGTTCTACCGTTCGGACTGACCAACGCCCCAGCGACGTTCCAGACGCTTATGAACACCGTCCTCTCCGAGTTCCTATGTTCATTCGTTGTCGTTTACCTAGACGACATACTCATCTTTTCCAAGTCGAAAGAGGAGCACGTGCAGCACTTGCAGAGGGTCTTTGAGGTCTTGCGGAGGGAGAAGCTGTACGCGAAGCAGTCGAAGTGCGAGTTCTTTCTCCCCGAGGTCGAGTTCCTAGGACACGTCGTATCCGCTAGTGGCGTTAGGACCGACCCGAAGAAGATCGCAGCGGTACAGGATTGGGTAGCACCGACCTCAGTCAAGGAGTTGCAGAGCTTTCTCGGATTCGCAAATTACTACCGTCGTTTCGTTCAGGGTTACGCTTCCATCGCTAGTCCACTCACCGACCTACTTCGGAAAGGCGTAGAGTACGTTTGGGGTCCAGCGCAGCAGCAGGCGTTCGAGCAGATGAAGCAGTCGCTCACGTCTTCACCGACACTGTCGTACCCCGATCCCACTCGCCCGTACGTTGTAGTGACCGACGCTTCCGATCAGGCCATAGGAGCAGTGCTTCTTCAGGACCAGGGACGCGGGTTGCAGCCGATCGCGTACGAGTCGCGTAAGCTTAGGGGAGCGGAACTGAACTATCCGATACACGACAAGGAGGCGCTAGCGATCATCCATGCGTATAAGGTGTGGAGGTGCTACCTAGAGGGGGCAGACAGTGTTATACGCACGGACCACTGCTCGCTTCGCTTTCTCAAGTCGCAACCGCAGCTGAGTCGTCGCCAGGCTAGATGGATGGAGTTCATGGAGGGGAGCTTTCATTACAGGATAGAGTACAAGCCAGGCGTGCGCAACCCAGCAGATCCGCTCACTCGCCCTAGTTGCCAGCTCGCTAGCCTCACAGTCACTGCAGGCCATCCACTTCTCACAGCACTCTTCGAGCACGGTTACACAGTAGATCCCGACTTCACACCGCAGCCGCCCGCAGGAGCAGAGGTGCAGGGTAGTGTTTACATACGGAAGGGCACCACACGGATTTGGGTTCCAGCCTACCGCCCTCTTCGACAGCTCCTTCTCTCAGAGGCGCACGATGTAGTTAGTGCAGGTCACTTCGGAGCAGATAAGACGGCTAAGACGCTTAGTCGCACGTACTACTGGCCAGGGCTTGCAGCAGACGTAGAGGATTACATTCGCTCGTGCGACACGTGTCAGCGTACGAAGTCCTCTCGCCAGCGCAAAGCAGGACTTTTGCAGCCGATTCCACCACCCGACCGCCCTTGGCAGGTAGTTACGATGGACTTCATCATGGCATTACCGCGCACAGTTAGGGGTCACGACGCGATCTTCGTGGTAGTGGATAAGTTTTCTCGAGCAGCGCATTTCATCCCCACGCACGGTCAGGTCACAGCAGAGGAAGCCGCGACGTTGTTCGTAGATAACGTAGTCCGACTGCACGGGGTTCCAGATTCCATCATCTCAGACCGCGACCCTAGATTCACCTCGAAGTTCTGGAAGCAGCTTTTCGCACTGTTTGGGACTCGCTTAGCCATGTCGTCTGCGTACCATCCAGAGACAGACGGACAGACTGAGCGCGTGAACCAGACCTTGGAGCAGATCCTTCGCAGCATCACGATGCACGACGCAGCAGCATGGGACAAGAAGCTGAGCATGGCCGAGTTCGCATACAACAACACGCACCACTCCGCCACAGGCATGTCACCGTTCTTTGCACTGTACGGTCAGCACCCCAATGTCCCCACTCGTGTCGATCTCACACCCACTGTCCCTCGTGCTGATAACTTCCACCAGCACCTCACCTTCATTCACGACCACGTGAGGAAGCACCTTGAGCTCGCAAATGCACGCATGGCACGCACCACCAACCGCAGTCGTCGTGAGGTGTCGTTTTCAGTTGGTGACCGTGTCCTTCTCGATAGCCGCAACCTCCGACTGCCACAGGACAGCAAGCTTCGCCCACGTTTCATTGGTCCATTCGTCATTGAGCGCGCACTTGGTCCAGTCGCATACCGCCTTCGCCTTCCCGCTCATTTCCGCATGCACCCATCATTCCACGTGTCTCTCCTTCGGCCTTACACTGATCCCAACACCACCTTCTCGGGCCGTGATCGCACTCCACTGCCGGTAGCTGTTGACACCGACGAGCCCGACTACCAGATCCAGCGCATCCTCAGGCACCGTCGCCGTCTGCAGGGAGGTGTCTCTTTCATCGACTTCTTGGTTCGTTGGCGTGGTTACGATGCAGCCGACGACAGCTGGGTTCCTTCGTCCTCGCTGTCTCCCGACAACGCTTGTCTCCGAGCGTACCTTCAGTCTGCAGGCGCCGCGGACGTCGCCTCCTTGGGAGGGGGGTAGTGTTAAGGGGGGATTTACTGTTCATTCCGAACAGTACTTTCCAAGTCACCCTTATCCTTATCTTCTCAGATTCTCTAGTGCCACGTGGCACTCTACTTTTCTTGCACTACAATTCTTGGTCCCACAATCCACTTTCCAACCTTGTTTCTTGCATGCTTTATAAACCTTGCTTGTACTTGGCATTATCAACCAATTCTCATTCAACTCTTCTTCAATTACTCAGTAACTCCTTCGCCTATTTCGCTAGTAGTTCTTTCGCCAAAGTCTTCCGCCGCGCTTCATCCTCGACTTAGTCGACCCCGCTAATTCTTTAGCGGATTTAGGCCAGCGGGCCTAACACCTACAATGGCTCAACTCGTACACACTTACAGGTCTCTTATAAGATACACCCGTTTTAAAGACAACCTCTGTTTTCAATTAAACATTATCTTATATCCGGGTGATGACGTCTCTTTCGGCGAAATGCATGAAACTCGTTACACGCACTTCCCGCCTGGCTACCTGTTGTTCTTCGAACGGACTTAGGCTGTAGTGTCTCAGGCTATTTCAAGTCGCGCTCTAACCACACCGATCCGATCCGATCTGGCGCAATTCTCCACGATCAGAGGCGAACTGCACCACGTCCTAACCGCTTCCCTCGCTTGTCCCCTGAACCTAGTGCTCTTGGAGTTCGTGGAGTAAAAACACACCTAGCGTGAAGCCACGCGCGAAGTGTCGCCTTGCAAGGCGTCGGAGCACATTTACTTCGCAGGGCTCCGCGCTGATGGCGCGGGGAGCGACAGACAGCGACAGGGAGAAGGAAGAGAGCCGCGCGGAAGGCATTGATGACCAAGTCGCTGAACGCACGGAGGAGGAAGTCGTAGGCGACGACGACGACGACGACGACGACGACGTGAGCGACAGTGGCGACGACGTGGTGCTGCTAGGGTTCGTGCAGAAGCCGTCGCACGACTGGTCGCTTGCCCGCCATCGCTTCCCCAGCAAAGTTGGGGGCGCGCCGGTGAGTGCGACGAGGGGGATGGGCGAGATGCGAGATGCGAGATGCGAGATGCGAGATGCGAGATGCGAGATGCGAGAAGCGAGATGCGAGATGCCATGAGAGATGCGAGATGCGAGATGCGATGAGAGATGCGAGATGCGATGGGCGGAAAAGAAGGGTGACATGCGATGAGCGCGCTTGTTGTGACGATGCGAGTGCCGCCAATCCCAGGCTTGAGGTGGCGGTACGCGCTGATGTGCGTGCTCCCCATTCCCCTGTGCCTTGGCGCCAGCAGCACCTGTCGCACCTTGCTCGGCCTGATGGCTCCAGTCCGCGCTCGCCATGGAGTCTCGTACCTTCCCTGCCTCACGTCTGCAGCTCATCCAACACGAAAGGATGCCTTGCCACGTGGAGGCATGTGATGCCACATGGAGGCATGTGATACCACGTGGAGGCATGTGATACCACGTGGAGGCATGTGATACCACATGGAGGCATGTGATACCACGTGGAGGCATGTGATACCACGTGGAGGCATGTGATACCACGTGGAGGCATGTGATAGTACCAAGTTGAGGCATGCGATGACATGTGATGGCATATGGAGATGGATGTGATGGCGTATGAAGAGGCATGTATATGCCCTGACAACATCTCATGCCGTCCATTTCATGCCGTCCATCTCATGCCGTCCATCTCATGCCGTCCATCTCATGCCGTCCATCTCATGCCGTCCATCTCATGCCGTCCATCTCATGCCGTCCATCTCATGCCGTCCATCTCATGCCGTCCATCTCATGCCGTCCATCTCATGCCGTCCATCTCATGCCGTCCATCTCATGCTAGCATGTCCTGTGCTGTGACCCCCATTCCCCCCCCACCAGGCGTACCTGGATCCGCTCAACCTGCCGTCAGACGCCCTCCTCTGTCACTTCTGCTCCCAGCCCCTGCGATTCCTGCTGCAGGTCACGTTGCTGCTCCTCACTCACACTCCACATATGACGCGCAATCCGCATCTCACGCACACTCCGCATCTCACGCACACTCCGCATCTCACGCACACTCCGCATCTCACGCACACTCCGCATCTCACGCACACTCCGCTTCTCACGCACACTCCGTATTTCACTCACATTCCGCATCTCACTCACACTCCGTATTTCACTCACATTCCGCATCTCACTCAGACTCACTCCACATCTCACGCGCACTCCGCATCTCACTCACACTCTGCATCTCACGCACACTCCGCATCTCACTCACACTCTGCATCTCACTCACACTCTGCATCTCACGGACACTCCGCATCTCACTCACACTCCTTGCGCGCCCTCCCTTCCCCCTTCCCCCCGTGCAGGTGTACTCACCGCTGGACAGCGAGGCGTCTGCCTTCCACCGCACTCTCTTCCTCTTCGCATGCCGCCACCAGCACTGCCTCACGCGGCACCAGCAGCAGCAGGCAGAGGTGGCGGACGGCAGAGCAAGGGAAAGGAGACGAAGGTGAGCGGTTGGGGTTGGGGGTTGGAAGCGTGACCATGGCAGCATGGCAGCACGGCATGTGTTTTGGGAACATCTCCTTATGTGCTGCACATGTCTCGTCTTGGTGGTTTATCATCATAAGAAAATGTGAAAGTGAATGTGTGCTTGAATGCGAAGGTGATCCGTCCTTTCTGTGTGTTCACATGTGCATGTTCAATTGTGAATGCGTGTGTTTGCATGGAATGTGTGCATGCCCCCCTTATGCACCATGCCCTCCCCATGCACCATCATCGCCCGCCCACAGTGTGTGTGCGCTGCGCAGCCAGCTGCCTCGCGCCAACCCCTTCTACGCCTTCACCCCGCCCCCTCCGGATGCACCCGGGGCACCACTCTCCCACCAAGGTCACTCTCCCACCAAGGTCACTCTCCCACCAAGGTCACTCTCCCACCAAGGTCACTCTCCCACCAAGGTCACTCTCCCACCAAGGTCACTCTCCCACCAAGGTCACTCTCCCACCAAGGTCACTCCCTCCTTGTCATCTCCCCTCACCGTCATCTCCCCTTCTCGTCATCTCACCTCCTCGCCATCATCTGCCCACTGCCTCCTCGGCCGGCTGCTGTATGCCTGCTGTGTGGCTGCTGTGTGCCTGCTGTGTGCCTGCTGTGTGCCTGCTGTGTGCCTGCTGTGTGCCTGCTGTGTGCCTGCTGTGTGGCTGCCGTGTGGCTGCTGCGTGCCTGCTGTGTGCCTGCTGTGTGCCTGCTGTGTGCCTGCTGTGTGCCTGCTGTGTGGCTGCTGTGTGGCTGCTGTGTGCCTGCTGTGTGGCTGCTGTGTGGCTGCTGTGTGCCTGCTGTGTGGCTGCTGTGTGCCTGCTGTGTGCCTGCTGTGTGGCTGCTGTGTGGCTGCTGTGTGCCTGCTGTGTGCCTGCTGTGTGCCTGCTGTGTGCCTGCTGTGTGCCTGCTGTGTGCCTGCTGTGTGGCTGCTGTGTGCCTGCTGTGTGGCTGCTGTGTGCCTGCTGTGTGCCTGCTGTGTGCCTCGTGTGTGGCTGCTGTGTGCCTGCTGTGTGCCTGCTGTGTGGCTGCTGTGTGCCTGCTGTGTGCCTGCTGTGTGGCTGCTGTGTGCCTGCTGTGTGCCTGCTGTGTGGCTGCTGTGTGCCTGCTGTGTGCCTGCTGTGTGCCTGCTGTGTGGCTGCTGTGTGCCTGCTGTGTGCCTGCTGTGTGGCTGCTGTGTGCCTGCTGTGTGGCTGCTGTGTGCCTGCTGTGTGCCTGCTGTGTGGCTGCTGTGTGGCTGCTGTGTGCCTGCTGTGTGCCTGCTGTGTGCCTGCTGTGTGCCTGCTGTGTGGCTGCTGTGTGCGTGCTCCTGCATGCCACTGCGTGCTTGACTGCTCCCCTCGTGCCTCAAGTCCCTGCCTGCCCTCTCTCCACCCGCAGTGCCCATGTGCGCGTGGTGTGGCACGTGGAGGGGCAGCAAGCGCTGTGGCGGCTGCAGGCAGGTGGCCTACTGCAGCAAGGACCACCAGGTAGGCAGGTGGCCTACTGCAGCAAGGACCACCAGGTAGGCAGGTGGCCTACTGCAGCAAGGACCACCAGGTAGGCAGGTGGCATACTGCAGCAAGGACCACCAGGTAGGCAGGTGGCCTACTGCAGCAAGGACCACCAGGTAGGCAGGTGGCCTACTGCAGCAAGGACCACCAGGTAGGCAGGTGGCATACTGCAGCAAGGACCACCAGGTAGGCAGGTGGCCTACTGCAGCAAGGACCACCAGGTAGGCAGGTGGCCTACTGCAGCAAGGACCACCAGGTAGGCAGGTGGCCTACTGCAGCAAGGACCACCAGGTAGGCAGGTGGCCTACTGCAGCAAGGACCACCAGGTAGGCAGGTGGCCTACTGCAGCAAGGACCACCAGGTAGGCAGGTGGCCTACTGCAGCAAGGACCACCAGGTAGGCAGGTGGCCTACTGCAGCAAGGACCACCAGGTAGGCAGGTGGCCTACTGCAGCAAGGACCACCAGGTAGGCAGGTGGCCTACTGCAGCAAGGACCACCAGGTAGGCAGGTGGCCTACTGCAGCAAGGACCACCAGGTAGGCAGGTGGCCTACTGCAGCAAGGACCACCAGGTAGGCAGGTGGCCTACTGCAGCAAGGACCACCAGGTAGGCAGGTGGCCTACTGCAGCAAGGACCACCAGGTAGGCAGGTGGCCTACTGCAGCAAGGACCACCAGGTAGGCAGGTGGCCTACTGCAGCAAGGACCACCAGGTAGGCAGGTGGCCTACTGCAGCAAGGACCACCAGGTAGGCAGGTGGCCTACTGCAGCAAGGACCACCAGGTAGGCAGGTGGCCTACTGCAGCAAGGACCACCAGGTAGGCAGGTGGCCTACTGCAGCAAGGACCACCAGGTTCGCACGCCGTGGTCCCACCCTGCTTCACAACCATCACAGCATCGCAGCATCACAGCATCGCACCATCGCACCATCGCACCGTTCGTTCGTTCTCCCCGTTGCCTGCACGTGGCGCTGGGAGGTCACGACTTGGATGCCCTCACTTCATTCCTTCAAACCTCCACGCCTCCCTGCCTTCCACCACGCCTCCCTGCCCTTAACTCAAACCACGCCTCCCTGTCCACTCATCTTCCTCTCTTCGCTGTTCGCTCCTTGTGTCCCTCCCGCTATCCCCCCGGCACTTGCTCACGTCCTCACCGCCTTCTGAACGCCACTGGGCCCATCAGAAGGAGCACTGGCGAGCGGGCCACAGTGCTGCCTGCTCCCGCACTCCGCCTCCCACCTCTACCACCTCCCCACCCGCTGCTCCCTCTGCTCCTCACACTCCTCCGCCTGTTGCCGCTGCTCCTTCTGCCCCGTCTCATCCTCCCGACACCGACACGTCAAGAGCGAGGTTATCTGTCACGTCAGCAGATGCTGAGTCAGCAGGGTGTGCAGGGAGTGACGTGTCAGAAGCGGATTGGAGAGTGACGGTGTTGGACAGGGGCGGGTGGAAGGAGTGGGAGATGGTGGTGGAGGAGGAGCCGGAGGAGGGAGAGGAGGGCGAGGAGAGTGAGGAGGGTAAGGAGGCAGGGAGAGAGGGGGGGAGTGGAGGGGGAAAGGGAGTCGGGGCGGGAGCGGGGGGAGCGGAGGTGCGGCGGCTAATGAGGGAGTATAATGAGCGCACCAAGGCGGAGGGGCCCATCGCTGCCAGCGAGCTGGAGGGCTTCGGCGAGGTGCTGGGGCGTGGGGCAGGGGTGGGCATGCGCATGGGGTGCGCATGGGGTGGGGTGTGCATGGGGTGGGCATGGGGTGGGGTGGGCGTGGTGTGGTGAATGCTGAATCAAGTATCAGTGCCAAGTTTGTTCTTCATTGCAACCTTGCCTTTCATTCCCCTGTTTGACTGTGTCGCTCTCGTCCCCACGTGTCTCCGTGGCTCCCTGTACTCGCATTGCCCAAGCCTTCCATTCTGCCTCCCCAGTAGAAGCTGCACTCCCGCTTCCCTCTCGCTGTGCCTCACATCCCTGCTCTCCCACCCACCCACCTACCCGCCCACGTCTAGCCTCTGCTCCCCCCGATTCCATCCGTGGGTACAAAGGAAGCTGTGTCCCTTTCCTCCCATTGCACTTCCTCTCATTGCCCCCTTGGTGTGGTGCGGCATGGCATGGTGTGGTGCGGCATGGCATGGTGTGGTGCGGCATGGCATGGTGTGGTATGGCATGGTGTGGTGTGGCATGGTGATTATTTCAGGGAGCGGATACAGAGAAGAAGCAATGGGCCGCATTTCAGGCAGTGATTGCCAAGGCACCTGAACAAGTGATCAGGTGATTGCCAAGGCACCTGAACAAGTGATCAGGTGATTGCCAAGGCACCTGAACAAGTAATCAGGTGATTGCCAAGGCACCTGAACAAGTGATCAGGTGATTGCCAAGGCACCTGAACAAGTGATCAGGTGATTGCCAAGGCACCTGAACAAGTGATCAGGTGATTGCCAAGGCACCTGAACAAGTGATCAGGTGATTGCCAAGGCACCTGAACAAGTGATCAGGTGATTGCCAAGGCACCTGAACAAGTGATCAGGTGATTGCCGAGGCACCTGAACAAGTGATCAGGTGATTGCCGAGGCACCTGAACAAGTGATCAGGTGATTGCCGAGGCACCTGAACAAGTGATCAGGTGATTGCCGAGGCACCTGAACAAGTGATCAGGTGATTGCCGAGGCACCTGAACAAGTGATCAGGTGATTGCCGAGGCATCTGAACAAGTGATCAGGTGATTGCCGAGGCACCTGAACAAGTGATCAGGTGATTGCCAAGGCACCTGAACAAGTGATTAGGTGATTGCCGAGGCACCTAATCATCAGGTGCTTTGCAATCGCCCTTTTCAAATTCAGCACACATCTTCGCACTCAGTCACACACACAACCCGTGAGACCCGTCACGCAGACCCACAACATATCATAGCAGCACCCTCAAATGCAGGTCTTGAGTGATATTCTGTGACCGGACAATTGCAAAAGCTTGCTGGCGGAACTACTTGGACTATGTGTCAACAAGAACCCAGTCACACAACTATGCGCACTCTCACACACAGACGCACATGCACGCACGTGCACACACATGCATGCATGGATGTGCAAGAGAGCTGCTGCTTGTTGCCATCTCCCTTCCACAAACAACCCCTTCCCTGCCCATGCCTCCTGCTCACCGTCTCGCACACCTGTCCTCAACCATGCTCTCAGCCATCCTCCCCTTCCCTCCTCCCTTCCGCTCCCCTCTCCGCTCTACTTTCTTCTGTCCTTCCCCCCATATCTCCCCCACTCAGATACTGCCGATCACCCACCGCCCGGCCGCTGTGGCCGCAGCAGCAGGGGCAGCCGCCCAGCCAGGCCGCCATTCCCCCCTGCAGTGGCTGCGGGGCGCACAGGATATTCGAGTTCCAGGTGTGCTCAGGTGGATTCTCAGGTGGATTCTCAGGTGGGTTAACCCAGTGCGTTCAGGTGGAAGTGTGTGATACCAGGGAAGCCTTTTGCTGCGGCCGTCCACCATAGGGCTTTAGCTGCACCAGCTTGATGGTGAAAGGGAGTGAGTGTGGGGGACACTCACAGGCCCACTTGCCCTGCGCTGGTCATCCTGTGCTTGAAGCTCATGCACGTGCAGCCCTCCCATCTCCACTCCTCTGCTGCTGCACTCCCCTCCCTCTGCCCCTCCAAGCACCTGTTCCGCCTGCCTTCCGTCCTGCGTGCCCACATCCCTCACTGCATGCACTCCCCCAAGCCAACCTACCAACGGTGCAAGCGATGCTGCTGCTGCACTCTCACGCCCCTCAAAGCACATCCCTTGCTCCCCTCCTTTCCCACCTCTTCCACAGGTGCTCCCCCAAATCATTTACTACAGTGCGCCTGACGCCACTGCTGACTCAGCGCTCGACTTCGCCACGCTGGCAGTCTACGTCTGCCCCAACTCCTGCTGTCGCTCTTCACCGCTCAGCACCGCACAGCAGAGCAGTGTCACCATCCCAAGCAGCAGCACTTCAACTGAAGCCACGGCAGGCGGGGCTAGTGCAGAGAGGAGCAGCAGAGATGCAGGCAGTGGGCAGGTAGAGGGCGGGGAGGCAGCAGCAGTGCAGCACGGGGTTTTGCAGGAGCAGAGCATGGGGTATGTGGAGGAGTTTGTGTGGGTGCAGCTGCCTTCCCAAGACCCCCCTGTTGTTCCATCAACGGATTGAGGCATTTACGTTCATAGTCTATTCTTTCTCCCTGTTGCTTCTCTTTCATTGTAGCCTAACAATGACAAGCAGCAATGTGTAGGAATTAAAATGGTCTAGATTGGTATTACCACTGATGTTTTTTGCAGAACAAATAGCGTGTTTATTGGGTCACGAGGTTGCCGTTACCGCGTACGATTATGATCATCAGTACTGGGGGAACCTGTGGTTTCCGGAAATGGCGTCAGCACGCAACTCACTCCGCTGCGGCACTCTGGACATTTTCCCATGTTGTGTCACCAAGTTACGACGCGCTTAAAAAAAAAAAAAGAGACTCTTAAATATCCTCTTGCGCTGCCGTGCCTCCCGCGCGTCCAGATCTCCGCAGTAGCCCCGCGCCACCGGCGCTGAGTCGCTTCCGCCGCACGGCATGAGACGCGCTGTGGGGAACTCTCGCTCGGCGGCAGAGGGCCGCTCGGGGGAGTGGCGCATGCGCGCAAGCGCAGGCGGGTTGGCGGGTGTGGCGGGTTGGGGTGGTGTGGGGGGTTGGGGGAGTGTGGGGCCCACACGCATCGACGATGACGGCGACGACACCGGTCTGCTTGACGCGTGGCACGTTGATGACGTGGCGGGCGAGCAGGAGGGAGAGGGGGAGGGGGAGGGGGAGGGGGAGGGCGGGAGGGCGATGGAGGAAGGGGATTTGGAAGAAGTCGCGGACTTGGAGGAGGTAATTGATGACGAGGCTGACAATATCGCGTACACGGAGGAAGAGGAGGAGGAAGAGGAGGAGGAGGAGGAAGAGGGCGACGAGACAGGTGGTTTGCGCGGAGATGAAGATGAAGGTGAAGGTGACCGGGGCGAGAAGGGTGAGGAGGAGGGTGCGAGGGACGAGAGGAGAGATGAGGAGGACGAGGAAGAGGAGGAGGAGGAAGAGGAGGAGGAGGAGGAGGAGGAGGACGAGGAGGAGGAGGAAGAGGAGGAGGAGGAAGAGGAGGAGGAGGAAGAGGAGGAGGAGGAGTGCGAGTCGGGGGAGGACTCGGACTGGGCAGCGGAGTCAAGCAGTGCAGAGGGGGACTCGGAGGGCGAGGAGGATGAGGAGTGGTGGCCACGTCAAGGGCGTGGGGACGACTTGCGAAGGCGCGATGGTGCAGGCGCGCAGGCGTGGAGCGAGGGGGGGGCAGCAGTAGAAGAGGGAGGGAAGGGGATGAGCGAGGAGGGTTTGGAAGGTGATGGGATGAGACCGGGACAAGGACGAGCGCGGGGCAAGGGGAGGGCGAGGGCGAGGGGGAGGGGGAGGGGGAGGGGGAGGGGTGAAGGCAGGGGCAGAGGGAGGGGAAGGGCGAGGGGAAGTGGAGGAGAAGGGGAGAGCAGTGGGGGGTGGCGGCAATGAACGCGGGAGAGGCAGGGGGAGGGAAAGAGGAAGAGGCAGGGGAGGGGAGGGGGAGGGGGAGGGGGAGGGGGAGGGGGAGGGGTCGAGGGAGAGCAGTGGGGTGCAGGTGGCGCTGTGGAAGGGGAGGGGGGCGAGGAGGGCGAGGAGGGCGAGGAGGGCGAGGAGGGACAGTGGGAGCGCGTGGGTGCAGGGAGGGGACGGGGGAGAGGCAGGGGGAGGGGCAGAGGGACGGGATGGGGAGGGGAGGGGGCGGGGGGGAGGGAGGGGCAGGGGAAGGGGAGGGAAGCGCGGCACATCAGTTGAGGGCGAGGAGGAGGGGGAGGGCGGTGCCCTGGGCACATGGATGGCTGGCGGCACTGCAGCGGTGGCGTCTGTGGCGTCGCTGTCAGCGGCCCACCGCAACCCCGCTCTGGCGCTGGAGACCCTCTCCCACTGGGGGCGCGGAGGGGGCGAAGGGGGACCAGGGGGCGCTGCAGGGTGGGGGGATGAGGACGAGGAGGGAGAGGAGTGGCAGCAGCGGAGACGGTGTGTGGGCCGCTTGTCCCTGACGCTGTGCTGCTCGCCCCTGCGTTGAGCTCCTCGCCCCTGCCCTCTCCACATTCGTCCTCTCTCCTCTCCCCCTCTCTTCCCATGAACCTCTCTTCCCATGAACCTCTCTTCCCATGAACCTCTCTTCCCATGAACCTCTCTTCCCATGAACCTCTCTTCCCATGAACCTCTCTTCCATGAACCTCTCTTCCCATGAACCTCTCTTCCCATGAACCTCTCTTCCCATGAACCTCTCTTCCCATGAACCTCTCTTCCCATGACCTCTCTTCCCATGAACCTCTCTTCCCATGAACCTCTCTTCCCTGCACTCCAATCTCCGCCCCCCTCCGGTCACTTGCTCCTCCCGCTTCCCGTCCTGCGCTCCTCCCCCCTCCCATCCCGTGCTCCCCCCTCCCGCCCTCGCTCCTCCCCCCGCCTGTCCTTGCTCCCCGCCTCCTCCTTTTCTCCACGCAGGCGCCGCCGCACACAGGGGGGCAGTGGGGACAGCACTGACGACGAGGGGGGAGGAGGTGGTGGAGGGGCGGCGCGGGCGGCGTTGTTTGGAGCTAGTATGGACGAGATCTGGGAGGCCGCCACGGCGCCGTCTCGCAAGCGAAGGAAGATGGTCCGCCCGCCTCTCCCCACGTGCTCTCCCCACGTGCTCCCTGCTCTCCCCACGTGCTCCGTGCTCTCCCACGTGCTCTTCCCACGTGCTCTTCCCACGTGCTCTTCCCGTGCTCTTCCCGTGCTCTTCCCGTGCTCTCCCCGTGCTCTCCCTATGCTCGCCCTTCTCCTGCGTGATTGTACGTTCATGCCTTCTTCCATGCCCTCGTCACACCGTCTCCCCCCCACCCATCTCCCCCCCCACCCATCTCCCCCCCCACCCATCTCCCCCGCCCACCCATCTTCCCCCACCCATCTCCCCCGCCCACCCATGTTCCCGTTGGCCCCACATCCGCGTGGCAGCTGCGAAGGAGGGGCCGGCCCAAGGGGTCGTCACGCCTGGCGCCCGAGGTGGTGGCGCGCCTGGGCGATGCCAACCTCATGTACGCCATGGGGCGCTACAGCGAGGTGCGCAGCGGTGCAGCCAGGTGAGCAGCGGTGCAGCCAGGTGAGGAGCGGTGCAGCGAGGTTAGGAATGGTGCAGCGAGGTGGAGGATGCTACAGCGAGGGGACACCACAGTCAGGTGGGGGGCACTATAGCGAAGTGGGGGGCGGAAGGGAGGACTGAAAAGGCGAGCATGGAGAGGAGCAGTTACAGCGAGGAGCAGGTAGCTGTGTTACAGCGAGGAGCAGGTAGCTGTGTTGGCCTTCGTGAATGACCGACAGGGACAGTCTTTTTCTAGAGGGATGAGCGAGAAGTGAGGAAGCGACGTGGGCCGTGCCGTGGGTAGCATAGTGAGGTCCCTCATTGAGCATGGCAGGATGGGAAAGGCAAAGAGTGCGGGCGCTTGTGATAGCATTGAGGGTAGCAGCGGAGGCTTGATGGATTGGGAGAGGGCCGGGCAGCTTGTGCTGATCTCCTGCTGCCAGGGCAGGCTCATGGACGCATGGCAAGCTAACAACAAAGCAGAGTCCACATTACATGACATTTCACTAGACGGCAGTGGCGTTGCTGATGTTCACCTGAAGCCACTGCACCACCACCCCACCCCTGCCCCTCTCCCCTGCACCGCCACCCCTGCCCCTCTCGACTGCACCGCCACCCCTGCCCCTGCCCCTCTCCCCCAGGCCATTCCTCTACTGGAGGCGGTGATACGGGAGGCGCCTGCGGTGCCGGACAGCTACCAGACGCTGGCACTGGTGTACGACGCCCTGGGGGAGCGGCGCAAGGCCGTCAACCTCACCATGATCGCCGCCCACATCACCCCTCAGGACACCGCTCTCTGGCGCCGCCTTGCTGCCTGGTCACTGTGAGACAGGGGGGGGGGGGGGAGTTGGTTTGGAGCGGGGTGGGGAGGGTGGAGGGGGAGAGAGCGAGCAGGTGATGGCTATTGTGTGGCGCGCCCGCCTGTCATTGGTTGCTCATCTGCCACTCACCATTCATTCCTGCTCCATTCTCCCACCTTCCCTGCATGGCCCTTGCTGTGCGCTGCAGGGAGCTGGGCAACCCCTCTCAGTCGCTCTACTGCCTCTCCAAGGTACTCCCCGAGCCACGTCACTCCAAACTCCCGCCTTCACTTCACTCTACTTCCCATGCCATCTCTGCATGGCATCTCTCCACAGCACCGCATGCACCGCATGGATGCACCTCTCTCGCCTCCCACCGCACGGCCCCCTGCTCCTCACCCGCCTTTACCAGGTGGTGCGGCGGGACCCCTCGGGTGTGGAGGCGTGGTGGGAGCAGGCGCTGCTGCTGCCGGAGGCGCAGGCAGGCCAGGTGGCGCTGTTGTCAGGTGGAGTTGACCATTGCCGCCCAGCCCAGCATCCATCGTCCCGTCCCTCCCCCCCCTCCCAGGTGGTGCGGCGGGACCCATCAGACGTGGAGGCGAGGTGGGAGCAGGCGCTGCTGCTGGCGGAGGCGGGGGACTACCGGCGGGCAGCAGCGGCACTGGAGCTCATGCGCGCGCACAGGGAGGCGGATGGGCAGCGGGAGGCTGACGGGGAGGTCTGCAAGATGCTGGCGCGGGTGAGTGAGATGCCTTGGGAGCGGGTGAGATGCCTTGAGCGGGTGAGATGCCTTGAGCGGGTGTGGCATTGCAGAACCTGGCCATCTGGCCTGGCATGCGATAGTTTAGAGTGGATGGACACGACACGGTATGGCATGGCTTGGAGTTTCAAGTGGAAGGTTTCTGAGGCAAAGTGTGCTGGTTGGTTGTGTGTGCGTGATGTGCTCATGCCCATTCATCCCTGCAGTGGGCTCACCCCCCTTCCTGCCACCCGTTCCCCCCACCCTTCCAGATGTATCACCGCATTGACCAATCAGACAAGGCCATCGAGGTCCTCCAATCGCTGCTCGCCTCCGCCACCCCCTCCACTGCCCCCGCCGCCCAGCTCGACCTCACGGCGCTCAACATTCTCGCCGAGCTTTACATCACCAAGGGAAGCTTCCAGGAAGCGCTGGCTGTGGTGGAGCGGGGCGAGGGCGTCGCTGTGTCCGGGGGAGGCCCTGCCGGTGGACCTGGGCGCCAAGGCGGGCACCTGCCTCGTGCGCCTGGGCCGGCTCACAGACGCTCAGGTGAGCCCTCTGCACTGCCCTGTGCTGTGCCGTGGCGATGGAGCTTGGATCCCAGGCGGCTGTGGGCCTCGTGTGCCGGGGGGGTCGACTCACAGACACACACGTGAGGCGAAGGAGTGTTTCAACACGCTCCCAAGGATGCCCTGCCCTGCCCTGCCCTGCCCTGCCCTGCCCTGCCCTGCCCTGCCCTGCCCTGCCCTGCCCTGCCCTGCCCTGCCCTGCCCTGCCCTGCCCTGCCCTGCCCTGCCCTGCCCTGCCCTGCCCTGCCCTGCCCTGCCCTGCCCGCTGTGGATTCGCCGTTTCTCTTTGAAACATGTGGAACCTGGCTCGGGGCTGCAAGCAACAGGAAACTCCTCCCCTGCCTGCTTGTTCACTCCATCATGACTCACACATGTACAGGAGAGGCGATGCTTGTACAATTGGATTCACCCCATGTACACCCACCGTTATTTGGGAATATTGACATGCCGTTTACTTGCTTGCAACAAACACCCCCCTTCTCCCCCCTCTCCTCCTCCACCCCTAACCCCCTCCCTCCTTGCAGCCGTACCTGCAGGCATTGGAGCAGGAGAGTGCAGGCGACTGTGCAGATCTCTTCACAGAGGCAGGCGACGCCTTCATGGCTGTCGGCCAGGCGGCAGATGCCATCCGCTTCTACCGCCCGCTCTGCTGCCACTGGGATGACGTGGCACTCGCTGCTGCTGCTGCTGCTGCCGCCGCAGCGGATGCTGCTGCTGGGGATGTTGGGGATGCTGCTGCTGCTGAGGCCTGTGGGGCAGCGACGGCGTCAGAGGGGCAAGGGGGGGCGGCAGAGGCGCTATGGCAGGAGGTGGAGGGGCGGGCGGCTGTGTGGGTGAAGCTGGGAGCGGCGTGTGCTGCTGCTGGGCGTGTAGATGACGCCGTGCTCATTCTTCACCGAGGTGTGCTGTGGGCACTGCACTGTAGGGCGCGCGTGGCGCAGGTGGTGAAGGCTGGTGCTGGGAGGGGTGGGCTCTGTGTGTGAGGGGGGGAGATGTCTGTGTGTCCTTCCAGTGTAAGTGTTAGGGAGGAGAGGGGTGGAGTGAGCATGTTTTTTTGTCTTTTGTGTTTGTGTGAAGCGAAAAGGGGCATGCACATGCATACGCAAGTGTCTGCATCTCTGTGCAGCTTTCTGCAGCTCCTGTGCGTGCCCTTGCATCTGTGTGTGCGCTTGCATCTGTGCATGCGCTTGCATCTGTGTGTACCCGGACCTCTCCATCCTCTGCTTTCCCCCTCCCTCTTCCCTCCCACACACTCTTCCCTCCTTTACATTCTCTTCCCTCCTTTACATTCTCTTCCCTCCGTTACATTCTCTTCACTCCGTTAAACTCTCTTCCCTCCTTTACACTCTCGCCCCTCCTTTAAACTCTCTTCCCTCCTTTACACTCTCGCCCCTCCTTTAAACTCTCTTCCCTCCTTTACACTCTCGCCCCTCCTTTAAACTCTCTTCCCTCCGCTACGACTCTCTACTGATTCACTGCCACCTTACATCCCCGCCCTCTCATCGCGCGCACCACGCGCGCCCATGCTCACAGCCCCCACCATGCATCTGCCCCCACCATGCATCTGCCCCCACCATGCATCTGCCCCCCACCATGCATCTGCCCCCACCATGCATCTGCCCCCACCATGCATCTGCCCCCACCATGCATCTGCCCCCACCATGCATCTGCCCCCACCATGCATCTGCCCCCACCATGCATCTGCCCCCACCATGCATCTGCCCCCACCATGCATCTGCCCCCACCATGCATCTGCCCCCACCATGCATCTGCCCCCACCATGCATCTGCCCCCACCATGCATCTGCCCCCACCATGCATCTGCCCCCACCATGCATCTGCCCCCACCATGCATCTGCCCCCACCATGCATCTGCCCCCACCATGCATCTGCCCCCACCATGCATCTGCCCCCACCATGCATCTGCCCCCACCATGCATCTGCCCCCACCACCATGCATCTGCCCCCACCATGCATCTGCCCCCACCATGCATCTGCCCCCACCATGCGTCTGCCCCCACCATGCGTCTGCCCCCACCATGCGTCTGCCCCCACCATGCGTCTGCCCCCACCATGCGTCTGCCCCCACCATGCGTCTGCCCCCACCATGCGTCTGCCCCCACCATGCGTCTGCCCCCACCATGCGTCTGCCCCCCCACCATGCGTCTGCCCCACCATGCGTCTGCCCCCACCATGCGTCTGCCCCCACCATGCGTCTGCCCCCCCATGCGTCTGCCCCCACCATGCGTCTGCCCCCACCATGCGTCTGCCCCCACCATGCGTCTGCCCCCACCATGCGTCTGCCCCCACCATGCGTCTGCCCCCACCATGCGTCTGCCCCCACCATGCGTCTGCCCCCACCATGCGTCTGCCCCCACCATGCGTCTGCCCCCACCATGCGTCTGCCCCCACCATGCGTCTGCCCCACCATGCGTCTGCCCCCACCATGCATCTGCCCCCACCATGCATCTGCCCCCACCATGCATCTGCCCCCACCATGCATCTGCCCCCCACCATGCATCTGCCCCCACCATGCATCTGCCCCCACCATGCATCTGCCCCCACCATGCATCTGCCCCCACCATGCATCTGCCCCCACCATGCATCTGCCCCCACCATGCATCTGCCCCCACCATGCATCTGCCCCCACCATGCATCTGCCCCCACCATGCATCTGCCCCCACCATGCATCTGCCCCCACCATGCATCTGCCCCCACCATGCATCTGCCCCCACCATGCATCTGCCCCCACCATGCATCTGCCCCCACCATGCATCTGCCCCCACCATGCATCTGCCCCCACCATGCATCTGCCCCCACCATGCATCTGCCCCCACCATGCATCTGCCCCCACCATGCATCTGCCCCCACCATGCATCTGCCCCCACCATGCATCTGCCCCCACCATGCATCTGCCCCCACCATGCATCTGCCCCCACCATGCATCTGCCCCCACCATGCATCTGCCCCCACCATGCATCTGCCCCCACCATGCATCTGCCCCCACCATGCATCTGCCCCCACCATGCATCTGCCCCCACCATGCATCTGCCCCCCACCATGCATCTGCCCCCACCCACCATGCATCTGCCCCCACCATGCATCTGCCCCCACCCACCATGCATCTGCCCCCACCCACCATGCATCTGCCCCCACCCACCATGCATCTGCCCCCACCCACCATGCATCTGCCCCCACCCACCATGCATCTGCCCCCACCATGCATCTGCCCCCACCATGCATCTGCCCCCACCATGCATCTGCCCCCACCATGCATCTGCCCCCACCATGCATCTGCCCCCACCATGCATCTGCCCCAACCATGCATCTGCCCCCACCATGCATCTGCCCCCACCATGCATCTGCCCCACCATGCATCTGCCCCCACCATGCATCTGCCCCCACCATGCATCTGCACTTCCTCTTCCCCGCTGCCCACGTGTCTCCTCCGCCATCACCGTCTCGCCTCACCTGCACCTGCCACCGTTCATCACCTCTCCTCACCAAGCCTCACTTCCTTCGACCCTTTCCCTTTCCTTCCACTCTCCCCGCTTCTCTCCCGAACACACGCTCTCCGCTCTTCTCTCTTCCTCCCTTGCTCTGCCCTCCTCTCCCCCAGTGGTGGCGTGCCTGCCCTGGCTGCCCCAACCCCGCCTGCACCTCTCCTCTGCGCTCGCCCTCGCGGGTCGCCTGCCAGAGGCAGCGGCTGTGCTGGAGGGGCCGGGGGAGGGGCGAGCAGGAGGGTAGCGAGGGGCAGCAGGGGGGGGCAGAGGCAGCACAGGGAGGATCGCAGGGGGGTGCTTCAGGTGCCACAGGCTCTTCTGCCATTGCAAAGGGCAGCGCAGTGGGTGGGGCAGGGGAGGGGGCGAGGGGGAGGAGGGGCGGGGCGGCATGGTGGAAGCTGGTGGAAGTGCAACTGGCCAGGGCGTATCTGTGGGACAAGGCTGACAATGCCAGCAAGTTCCTGGAAGTTGCGCTGCCAATGGTGTCCCAGTCTATGTGGGCAATTGAGAAGAACGAACGGGTGGGTTGAGCAGCCACGGGCGTGGGCTGCCACGGGCGTGGGCAGGCACGGGCGTGGGCTGGCAGGGCAGGGGCGTGGGCTGCGCAAGGGCTTAGGTTGGGCAAGCGCTTGGGGTGGCAAGCGGCAGAGTGAGCAGGTGGATGGGGCTTCAAGTGTATAGATGCGTGCGTCATGTCATGTGTGTCAGGATCTTGGATGGATGGATGGATGGATGGATGGATGGATGGATGGATGGATGGATGGATGGATGGATGGATGGATGGATGGATGGATGGATGGATGGATGGATGGATGGATGGATGGATGGATGATGGATGGATGGATGGATGGATGGATGGATGAGTGGCGACGTGGGGAAATGGATGAGCGGCCACGAGCGGTGATGCACACCACGCAGCTTTGCCTGGAGGGGACAGCGCTCGCATGAGCAGCGCGAGTGAATGCAGGTGGAGGTTGAATGGGTGGTTCACTGCAAGTATTGGCGGAACAGAGCAGAGCAGGTTATCCAAGGAGAGATCCTGTGGGAGTGGGGCTCCAGAGGGTGAGTGGGGGCTCCAGAGGGTGAGTGGGGGCTCCAGAGGGTGAGTGGGGCTCCAGAGGGTGAGTGGGGGCTCCAGAGGGTGAGTGGGGGCTCCAGAGGGTGAGTGGGGGCTCCAGAGGGTGAGTGGGGGCTCCAGAGAGCGAGTGGGACTCGCCTTTTCCCCTCGCCTTCTTCATCCCCTCGCCTTCTTCATCCCCTCGCCTTCTTCATCTCCTCGCCTCACACCCCTTTCACCCACCCCCTGCCCGCGCATCAGATTCTGTCGGCCTTCCGGGCGGCGCACCCGTGGTGGGGCGGCCGTGGATGAGGCAGCTGAAGGCGCTGCTGGCAGAGCAGGCGAGGGAGGGCAAGGAGGGGCTCTACCGCGGGCTCAAGCTGCGCCTGCCGCGCGGCATTGCGTGAGCTCACTTCACATGACATGACATGACAGGCATGGCGTGATTGATTGCAGAGAGGGAGTTGTGGGAGCACGGCACAGAGTAGGGATTGTGAGACTCCTCCCCTCACACGCCCTGCTTCTGTCACCACCTCTCATGCCATCCCGTGCCCTATCCTCTCACCATGCCATCACCCACCCTCTCCCAGCACCTCATTTCTCTCCTTCCTCACACACACCATCACCCCTCTCCCTTCTCCCCGCTCTTTTCCCCCTACCTCCCCCCTCAACCCCCTCCTCTCCTCCTACCCGCACAAACCCCACCAGCTGCCAGCTGGCGAATCGGCGGCGCCTGGCCCGGCTGGCAGCAGAGGAGGCGGGAGAGGCAGGCGGCGCTGGGGGAGGGGAGGGGCGCGGGGGAAGGGGAGGGAGGAGCGGGAGGAGACGGGGCGGGGAAGGCAGGTGGTGGTCGGGGGGGGATTGGCACAGACTCAGTGCGGCTGCAGCTAGAGGTGGGGGGAGAAGCGAGGTGAGGGAGAAGCGAGGTGGGGGAGCAAACGAGGAAAAGATTGAAGTGGGAAGGGTTGTGGGTAGAAAAGCGAGAAAGGAGAGCACTCACTCACCCCTCAACATGCATCACTCACCCCTCAACATGCATCACTCACCCCTCAACATGCATCACTCACCCCTCAACATGCATCACTCACCCTCAACATCCATCTCTCACCCCTCAACATGCATCTCTCACCCCTCAACATGCATCACTCACCCCTCAACATGCATCACTCACCCCTCAACATGCATCACTCACCCCTCAACATGCATCTCTCACCCCTCAACATCCATCACTCACCCCTCAACATGCATCTCTCACCCCTCAACATGCATCTCTCACCCTCAACATGCATCTCTCACCCTCAACATGCATCACTCACCCCTCAACATCCATCACTCACCCCTCAACATGCATCACTCACCCCTCAACATGCATCACTCACCCCTCAACATGCATCACTCACCCCTCAACATGCATCACTCACCCCTCAACATGCATCACTCACCCCTCAACATGCATCTCTCACCCCTCAACATGCATCACTCACCCCTCAACATGCATCACTCACCCCTCAACATGCATCACTCACCCCTCAACATGCATCTCTCCCTCAACATGCATCACTCCCCCCTCAACATGCATCTCTCACCCCACAACATGCATCACTCACCCCTCAACATGCATCACTCACCCCTCAACATGCATCTCTCACCCCTCAACATGCATCACTCACCCTCAACATGCATCTCTCACCCCTCAACATGCATCACTCACCCCTCAACATGCATCTCTCACCCCTCAACATGCATCACTCACCCCTCAACATGCCTCTCTCACCCTCAACATGCATCACTCACCCCTTAACATGCATCTCTCACCCCTCAACATGCATCTCTCACCCCTCAACATGCATCTCTCACCCCTCAACATGCATCTCTCACCCCTCAACATGCATCACTCACCCCTCAACATGCATCACTCACCCCTCAACATGCATCACTCACCCTCAACATGCATCTCTCACCCTCAACATGCATCACTCACCCCTCAACATGCATCTCTCACCCCTCAACATGCATCACGCACCCCTCAACATGCATCACTCACCCCTCAACATGCATCTCTCACCCTCAACATGCATCACTCACCCCTCAACATGCATCTCTCACCCCTCAACATGCATCTCTCACCCCTCAACATGCATCACTCACCCCTCAACATGCATCTCTCACCCCTCAACATGCATCTCTCACCCCTCAACATGCATCACTCACCCCTCAACATGCATCTCTCACCCCTCAACATGCATCACTCACCCCTCAACATGCATCTCTCACCCCTCAACATGCATCACTCACCCTCAACATGCCTCTCTCACCCCTCAACATGCATCACTCACCCCTTAACATGCATCTCTCACCCCTCAACATGCATCTCTCACCCCTCAACATGCATCTCTCACCCTCAACATGCATCTCACCCCCTCAATATGCCTCTCTCACCCCTCAACATTCATCACTCACCCCTCAACATGCATCTCTCACCCCTCAACATGCATCTCTCACCCCTCAACATGCCTCTCTCACCCCTCAACATGCATCACTCACCCCTCAACATGCATCTCTCACCCCTCAACATGCATCACTCACCCCTCAACATGCATCACTCACCCCTCAACATGCATCTCTCACCCCTCAACATGCATCACTCACCCCTCAACATGCATCACTCACCCCTCAACATGCATCTCTCACCCCTCAACACATGCATCACTCACCCCTCAAATGCATCTCTCACCCTCAACATGCATCTCTCACCCCTCAACATGCATCTCTCACCCCTCAACATGCATCACTCACCCCCTCAACATCCATCACTCACCCTCAACATGCATCACTCACCCCTCAACATGCATCACTCACCCCTCAACATGCATCACTCACCCCTCAACATGCATCACTCACCCTCAACATGCATCACTCACCCTCACAACATGCATCTCTCACCCCTCAACATGCATCTCTCACCCCTCAACATGCCTCTCTCACCCCTCAACATGCATCACTCACCCCTCAACATGCATCTCTCACCCCTCAACATGCATCACTCACCCCTCAACATGCATCTCTCACCCTCAACATGCATCACTCACCCCTCAACATGCATCACTCACCCCTCAACATGCATCTCTCACCCCTCAACATGCATCACTCACCCCTCAACATGCATCTCTCACCCCATTCTCCCCCCCCGCCCCTCCCCACTCCCCTTCCCCCCTCCCCTCCCACTCTCCTCTTCCCTCCCGTCCCCCCTCCCCTCCCTCTGGGCTACGTTGGAAAATACGAGTATCGAGTATAATACGCTAGCGTATTATACGCTGGGTATATACGCGGTACGCCATGGCTGGCGTACTGCTGATACGCAAAAATACGCTGGGCGGGCAGATATAAAACTTTTTCCCGGGCAGGTTCCGCCCTCGAACTGTAGGGAGTAGAGGTCGCCATGGCGAGGACGTACTAAAGTTAGGAGAGTTCGAGCCTGACGAGAGTTGGACGAAATGCAAGAACAGAAATGCGGGATTGAATGAAAGACGAGCTGTTTAGGGATTGACGAGATGTTCGAATGAGTGAAAGGGGGGAGGTTGGGTTTGGGAGGTCGAGAGGGGGTGGTGTGTGGTTGGGGATGTGGGAGAGTTTGATTTTGATTTTTGAATTGCAGACAGGGGTTGGGTTCTGTGCGAGGTCGAGGGTTCAATTCTCGCTGTCGCAAATTCTCGTTTTTTTTTTTTTTTTTTTTTTTTTTACGGGCTGCCCCGGCGTATTTTAGCGATTTTTAGGCGTATTAGCGTATTGCGTACATACGCTAGCGTTATACGCAATACGCCCACCCCCCAAGGGCGTATTTGCCAACATAGCCTCTGGGCGCCGCACAGCTGAGCTCTCTGAACCCCATCCCCCCCTCCCCTCCCCTTCCCCTCAACCGCCCCTCCCCCTGGGCGCGGCACACAGCTGAGCGACTTGGGGCTGAAGGACGTGGACGAGCCCACGCTGCACGAGGTGCCGCTTCCTGGAATCTTCTCAGACGACCAGCAGTTCGCCCTGCTGCTCAAGGTGCGCCTCTGCTTCCCCCTTCCTGCCTCTGCCTCCCTCTCTCTTCCATCTCGCCCTGTAATGCCGCGTATCGTACTGCCATATGGCAATACTCGTCACACCACATAGCTTGCACGATCAAGCCCGGATGGAACCAGTGGTGGAGGGAGCAGCTGCTGCTGCCACCCTCCCTCACCCACATTGCCCTGGAAGCCCTCTCTCACCTCCCCCCACATTGCCCTGCCACTTCCCATGCACCCACTCTGCCCCTCTGCCGCCACCATAGGGCTCCAGTATCTGCGTGTACCGTTGCACACCCGCTAAAGTCCGTGTCCGCTGCACCAGTGCTGCTTGCTCCCACCAGACCCGCCTCTCCCTGCACCCCTCACCCCGCGCCCTCCCCCATCCCCTCGCACCGTGTGCCCACTGTGTGCCCACCACCGCCACCCCGCCAGGTGGTGCAGACTCTGCTGCATGAGGGCCGCCCCATGGAAGCTGAGCGCCTCGTTGAGACCGCTCTTTCCCGGAACCTTCCCAAGCCCATGCGAAAGCAGCTGCAGTCAGCCATTGCTGGGTGAGAGCCCGATCCTTCTTCGGCCATTTCCCTCCTGCTCTCCCCCTGCTGCTCCCTGCTGCTCCATGCTGCTGTTTCCCTGTCCTTCCCATGCCCTCACCTCCCGTC